TATAAAGAAAAAGAGTTTTTGAATTTCAAGAGCTGGTGCCAGCGCTGGCCCTGGTCTGGTGAGGATCTGATAGCAATGGTGTCACAATATGACACCTCCCCATGTGGGAGGAAGAGATCACACCTTGAGACAAATTCAGGGAGCAGTTCAAGGGCTGGGCTCATTCTTATAACAACTTCTATAGCAATTTGCTCTCCTGAGAACCAACTCAGTCCCAAGATCTACCTTGATCTCTTCCAAGTTACATCTCCAGTGACTCAAGGACATCCCACAAGGCCCCAGCTCTTAAAGGTCACACCATCTCATCTGCCACACTAAGAACTCTTGGGGGACACACTTAAGCTATATCCAAACCACAGTGATGGCAGTTCACATTAGCAAAAGTTCAGAAAGGGCAGAGAACGCGTGGTTTCTCAGTGATCACATCTGCTTCTGTCAGCCCAAAGTCACAAAGCTGTTCATGTTTGCTTGGGTATCTTTCACTGTTCATTTTTTTTTTTTATTTGTTTCCTGCCTGTCTTCTGTTTGTTTGGTTTTTTTTAAAGAACCTTTAATTACTTTTTTGGTGGCACTGAGGTTTGAACTCAGGGCCTTACACTTATTAGGCAGGCACTTTACCACTTGAGCCATATCTCCAGTCCCTCTTCTGTTTTTTAAAGACTGGAAAGTGATGCTTTCTGAGACAGGACTGTAACTATAGCACACATTCTATTTTGTAGCTTGCCTCTTTCACTCTTTGTCCTTTGCATTTTCCACATTCCACCATTGAGGAGGCGGTCCATCATGTACGTGTCCATTTACTCCCTATGGGTGAACATGACAGTTATTTGCGGATTTTCCTATTATAAGGGAACATGTTTTCTACATAACACATTTTCCTTATTTATAATTATCCCCTAAAGCTAGAGTCGTCGAACTGGTATTAATGGACTGAAAAAAAAAACACACTTTTAATATCCACTTTTAATTTCCATAGAGCCAAAGGGTTGACCTTCAGGATCACCTTGAAAGATAATTTGCAAACATCATCCTTGTAGTAGCAAGCAAGAGAACCCCCTGCGGAGGGTCTGTAGAGAGCAAAGCCTGACCTCAGGAGGTCTCAGGGATAATGAAGGGGCAGGAAGTAGTCAGGAAGGAGTTACTGCCCAAGTGAAGGGCCCCTGCTGCAGGGATGGGAAGAGGAGAGAGCAGTAGGTCCCACTAGGGAAACAGGTGCCTGTGGTACCTCCAGCCCATAGGGACCAGCAGTCCCAACCCCATTGATTCCAGGGCTGACCTTGATGACCTCTGTTGTACAACTCTTCTCCTCTAGTTGTCTACTCTGCCCAGGCTCCAGGACAGTGCCACAACTTCCTGGCCTGCACCTATCCTGTAAAACAATAAAGAAGACTCTTCATTGCCCTCCTGGACCAAGTTCCTGATGCTGGCATTCAGGACCTTCAGGGATCCTCCAGTCCTCCCAGAAAACCATGTCCAGCACCCAAACTGACCTTCCCCTAAGTGCCTCAAGCCCCAGACATCCCTGCACCTGTATCTGCCAGCTCTTCCCCCAGAGTTCCCTACCCCACCATCCTTCCAGACCCTCCACTGAGCACAGCACTTGCTGGGCCCTCAGTCCTCGATACCTTCCAACCTGGGGACAGCTGAGTCCTTCTTCAGCTACATGCCACTCTGGGACTGAGAGATCCTGGCAGACAGAGGCCATGGCTCTCTCAGCTCTTGCTCTGAAGTGCTGGGGCCAGAGTCTGTCATAATGCAGAGATGTTTCTAGACAACATGCATAAAATCTGGATCAAGTGACAACTTTTTGTCCTACATTAAAAATGTCTTTGGATGCAGCTAAGCCATGCCTCAATAAATATAATATTTATTATATTACAGAAACTGTAATATAATAAATGTGGGTGTGTTTTAAACTCCTAATAAAAAATTGCTTTTGCCAGTGACAGAACTAATGACCAAGCAAATGGCAGAGTCTGGCCCAAGCCCAGGGCTCTTGACTCCCACCCTATCTCCTTCCCGGGCCCTCTGGGGCCTGAAGTACAGGACCTGCTGGAGTGAGGGGATGCAGCAGGGGAACGGAAGGAAGAACTCAGAGCTCACTCATCAAGCCCACCTCTGTCCCCTCAGCTCATCACTCTGAGGACAAACCCAGATGCAGCCACTCAGAACAGGCGATTCCAGTTCACCCAGAACCAGAAGAAAGAAGACTCAAAAACATCCACATCTGTCACCAGTGTGAACCAGGCGAGCACGTCACGCCTGGAAGGCCTGCAGTCGGAGAACCACCGCCTGAGGATGAAGATCACAGAGGTATGTCCTGTGTCCGCAGCCCACCCTGGCCTCACATTGGAGTTCCTCTGACCCAGCCCCAGAGCTACCCACCTACCATATTTCTCTGGAGGATCCTTGTGCTGGGGCAGCTGGTCCTACCTGCTGTCTTTATGGCTATGAGAGCTGGGGTAACAGAAACCAGGGAGAAGCAGTTCATCAAATTTGATGCAAGTTTATGACCCACCCGGCCCAGGGTTTTGGAATCCCACAGTGTCTGATTCAACATATTTTTAGAAAGACAGCATGCAGAGGTCTGTGAGCTTCCAGATTAGCCACATCGAAAGCCCCAACATGTTCATTATGTGCTGGGAGAAAAATGGAGGCCAAGAGTCTTTTCTGGAGGAAGGCCGTGCTGCAGCAGACCTCCCCCTTGTCCCATGGTTCTTAACTGGTTCTTGAATTTTACAGACAGGCCACAACCAGGTTCCTTTATGTCTAAGCCAAACCTCAAATTCTGGACTTTCAAGGAGTAGAAACTGGTTTCCTCCCTCTCTTCACTCTCCCTTGTGGTCACGAGCTCTGACTGGACCCCATCTGGGCACTGTGCATCATAGTCATAGAGGAATGCTGACTTAGTGAGGAGGACAGGACAGGAACAAAGGAAAGGGTCAGGAGGCTGGGCAAGTTGCAGTAACTTGCTCCAGAAGAAAGTGGCTTAAAGACTTCATAGAAGGTGGCGATACTGCAGTTCCAGGCCAGTCTGGACAAAAGTTAGTGAGTTAGTTTTTGTTATTCTCAGAAAAAGAAAAAACAACAACCAAGCTGGGCATGATGGTGTACAGCTGTAATCCCAGCTTCTTGGGAGACAGAGGTAGGAGGCTCACAGTCCAAGGTGGGCTGAAAAACAAGCTAAAGGAAAAAGAGCTGAAGGCATGACTCAAGTGGTAGAGTGCTTGACTAGTAAGCATAAGACCCTGAGTTCAAACTCCAGTACTACCAGAAAGGAAAGGAAAAGAAGGAAGGGAGAGAGGGAGAGAGAGAGGGTGGCCCAAAGAAAGTTTATTTCTCTGAAGACAGGGGTCCCAGTTGGGCAGCTCTGTTCTCCCCTATCATCGTCTATGCACCTGAGATGATGACTTTAGGCTAGGGGAGCCCACAGCCAGCCTCTGGGTTTCTGCCCTTCAAGGCCCTTTGCCAATTCTGCTTTAGTATCAGACCTTTCTGTAAGTAGCAGAACCACCTCTCTGGCCCTTGACATTGCACTTCCTCTTGGGTGTTCTAGCAATGAAGAGTCCATCACTTTAGGAAATCCAAACCACTGGGGAAAACCTGAAATGATGAGTTGTTTTTCCTGGAATCAAATAACAGTCTGGCCCACTATGGCCCTACCTTGGATCTAGTCCTGCTATTTGAGTCGCTCAGGAAAGGGTGTCTCCTTCTTCACATGAAAACCGTGGCTGTGCTCCTGACAGCACTTTACAGTTTATGAGATTCCCTCCCTTATCCTGTACCAGAACGCCCACCACCCACTCCAACTACCACCCGACCACCACCCATGCATGTGCTCCCCAGGCTTCTCTGGGCTGGCTCGCCCCAGGACTTGTCCCTGATCTTTGTATGACCTGGGCATGGCTGGGACCATCCTGCTGAACTCCAGATGAGACCCTGCTGCTCTGAGCCTTCTTGACAGTGTGACCTGTATATCTCTCCTCACCACTGAGGGTCCTGTTAGCTACCAGTCATGACGATCATAGCAATACTGCTATAGTACCAGGTCACCTCATCATGGGTCAGGCACTAGGCTGAACTTTGTATGCATCATCTTATTTAATCTCACCCTCAACACACACACACACACACACACACACACACACACACACACACACACACACACACACAAGGCAGGCACTGTGATTAGCCCATATGCAGATAAAGAAATCGAGACCCATGAGCCAGTAAAGGGCAACCCTGGGTTTGTCTTAGACTTCTCCAACTCCATGGGTAGATCTCTTCCCACCCTGCCTCCCTGGGCTTTCTTGGCTCCTCCATCAAGGCTCAGGCCTACACAGGTCCCTCTCTCATCACAGCTTCTCTTGATGCAGAGGCCCTGGCCCGTTCTCGGCTTTCCAGGCTGAGCTGCCAGGGCTGGGCAGGGGCTGGGCAGGAGACTGACTCAGCTGGAGCCTTGTCTTCTAGCTGGATAAAGACTTGGAGGAAGTCACCATGCAGCTGCAGGACACACCAGAAAAGACCACCTACATCAAACAGAACCACTACCAGGAGCTCAACGACATCCTCAACCTGGGGAACTTCACAGAGAGCACAGGTGAGAGGAGGCAGGGTCTGCAAACAGGTGAAAGGAGGTGTCTCAGAGGGGGCAGGGACTGGTGGGAAGTTACACGCTGAGCTAGAGCAGCTGGAAACCCTGCTCCTGGTCACAGTTCAATGTCTGCTCAGAGTCCTCCTGCCTTGACCTGGGCTTCCACTTCTCATCCTTAGGGCCAGGTCCGCATGTACACAATGGGCAGGTGTTCTCCTGTTCCCAGTGTACTGACAGGGACACATTTCATTTTCCCTTTTGCTTTCAGAAAATAATTTATATTTACTCTGAACAGTATTTCAGTTTCAGAAGCACCTTATCAATATACAAAAAAGAACAGTAAGATTTGAAATGATATCCAACCTCATTGGCCACCTGGGAAATGCAAACCACAACACAGTTCACTTCTTGCCTTGCTCTCAGCAAAAATCTGAAAGATTATTGGTTATAACTAACCTAGTAATAACCTATACTAAGTTATAACTAGGCTGTTTGGAAACGTGCATCCCCTGCAAAGATCTGGAAGTCAGACTGGCACTCCCCATATGTGAAGTACTAAACCCTTTTTTTTTTTTGGCAGCACTGGGGGTTGAATTCAGAGCCTGTGCTTCCTAGCCAGACACCCTGCCTCTAGAGCCAAGTCTCCAGTGCTTTTGTGCTTTAGTTTATTTTTCAGATGAGAGCCTCACTTTTTGTTCAGAGGTGGGCCTCAGACTGAGATCCTCCTACATTTGACCTCCCAAGTAAACCTGGGATGACAGGCATGCACCAATGTGCCCGGTTTGTTTGTTGATATGGGGACTTGCTAACATTTTGCCAGGACTGGCCTCAAACCTTGATTCTCCTAATCTTGGCCTCCCAGGGAACTAGGATTATAAGTGTGAGCCATCATATCTGGCCTAAACTTCTTGACCTAGCAATTACATAGCAGGAACTGCCCCCTGGAAGTACATCCAAGTGGACAAAGAAGTGAGCAGACGAAATGCTCGTCTCTGAAGTGGTTTCATTAACTATGAAACAATCAGGTGTGGCATATTACATATCCATTAATAAGTGAGAGGGTAAAAGGCTGGGAGCATGGCTCAAGAGGTAGAGCATCTATCTAGCAAGCACAAGGTCCTTAGTTCAATCCCCACCCCCAAAAAACAAGGGTTAGGACTGTAGCTCAGTGGTAGAGCACTTACACTTGCCTGTCATGCACAAGGCCCTGCATTTAATCCCCAGCAGTGCAAAAAAGAAAAAGAAAGAAAACAAGTGAGGGGAATCTATTTGTGCAGATACGGAAAAATCTCCAAGTGAAAACAGGCAGTATTATGAGTCACACAAGTGCACACACACACACACATATGTAGGAATGTACATATACATGTACGCATATGTGAGTGCATATGTGTAAATGCTTTTTTTTAAAAAATCTGGAAGAATAAACAAAGTTGTCAACAGTCCCCACCTTGTGAAAAGGGACATTATTACAGGAGGTGGGTGAAAGGGATTCTTTTACATTTTATTTTATATGCTGTTTGGATTTTGTCATTAACACACCTATATATACTCATTTAATTTTTTATAAATTATTTTTAAATTAATGAAAAATATATTATCAAAAAATTCTTATTATAGAAATATCATCTAATTCTTATTATATAAGACACTGATTGCAAAAACTGAGATAATAACAAGGAAATTGAAAGAATAAAAAATAGTCCTAATAATTTTAGTATCTTATAAAGGTAAGCATTTCAAATTATTGGGGGGAAATGAATTATTCAATTAATTTCATTGGGATAAATGAGTTTTATCCCATAAGAAAAGGAATAAAGCTAGATCTTTTCCCTCGTGGTTTCCACAACTTAACAGACAAAAGACTTAAATACAAAAAGTGATGACTCAAGCTGTAGAACACCTGCTTTGCAAGCAGAAAGCCCTAAATTCAAACCCCAGGCTCTACCTTGATTCACATTGGCCATTAACTCTCAATGGGCACAGGGATGCATGTCTGTAATCTCAGCTACCCTGGAAGCTAAGGAAGGGGGATTGCTTGAGTTCAGGATATCAGGATCAGTCTGGGCAAAATACTGAATCATCTCAAAAAAACATGAATTTGAGCAGGCACAATCAAACCATAGCACTATGGATATGTAGTCTGCTCTTCTTGTTCTTGGTCGCAGTGTAGTTATGCTTTGTAAAGTCACCTTGAACAGTGAACTCATGAACACTGAATTCTTGGGAATTCAGGTGAGACTCCTGTGAGCTCCTAGCAGGTTGCCTTTTTGTCAACCAATAAATTCCTTACATGTTTTATGCATGTTTCTGTTTAAAGATACCTTTTTAACTCTGTATTGTTGGTTCATTATAACATTGAATTCACAGCCAACTGCACTGTAATCCATGCCTGTTAGAAGCTTACCTAACACCTGTATCTTCTCTGGAAGGCTGACACCAGACAGCCCTCAGCACTATACTTGGGGGCCATTTTAAACAGTAAAGTCACCAACAGAAAGAGCAAAAGCATGTCACTAAATAGACCTCAAAAAACATACATATTTATAGTATGAGAACTAAACAAAAAAAGCAGAGTGTCGCCTCAACTTGGAACCTGTGTACCAGGCAGCTCAAGATTTTGTACATTTGAGAGCCAGGTGTGTGATGTACGCTTGTTATCCCAGCATTTGGGAGGCTGAGGCTGAGAGTTCAAAACCAGCCTGGGCTTCATAGAGAGACCCTGTCACCAGGCACAAGACACTTACTGCATGTTATCAAATGACCACAAAAGCATCAACAGGCCATACACCAGTGGCTCAAGCCTATAATCCTAGCCACTTGGGAAGCAGGGATAAAGAGGATCATGGTTCGAGGGCAACCTGAGCAAATAGTTCAAGAGACCCTACCTATCTCGAAAATACCCAACAAAAAAGATCTGGCGGAGTGACTCAAATGGTACAGCACCTGCCTGGCAAGCATAAGGCACTGAGTTCAAACGCCAGTTCCACCAAAAAAAAGCATAAAGAGTATTGATTGGAGGGTTACAAATGCAAAATGACATATCTATAAGGTTGCCTATGGCAGCAAAACCAAACAAAAACACCCATGCTCCTCTCCCAGTCAAATAAGTCTGGATCTCTTGGTGGGGACAGTTTTCATATTTCTTTAGTCTTCCCAGATTGTTCTGAAGCCCAGAGAAGATGGAGAGGGCTTACATCACCACAGTTCATGGCTACACATTCTTCCTTTGAGCCAAGGCCCCAAAACCTGTGTAACTAATCCATTATTACTGGACAAATTTGGATTGCTTCCAATATGTAGATATTGGAATGATACTGAATCGAACATCTTGTATCTATCTTTGTGATAATAATCCTTGATTATTTCCTTAAGGTAATATCCAGAAACAGAAATTCTGAGCAAAAGATGTATTTTGCTGGGCATGGTGGTACGTGCTTGTAATCCCAGCTACTCTGGAGGCTGAGGCAGGCAACTTTGAGGCTAGTCTGATCAACTTAGCAGCAACCTGTTTCAAAATAAATAAATATAAATGTAGCTCAGTGGCAGAACGCTTGCCTAGCATGCACGAGGCTCTGGGTTCAATCCTCAGTATCACACACACAAAAAAGCACTTTTTATGGTGGCTGATACATACCAACAGTGCTTTCCAGTATGCCAATTTATACTCCCACCAGCAGTTTACTATTATTCTTTTTAATCTTTGCTAATTTTATCAGAAATGTGCCACCAGGGATTTTTTTATTTCCTTTGTCATTGTAGCCCTAAGCACCAGTGAGAAGGATTTTAATATGAGACCCACCCCCTTGTTTCTAAGCAATGTCACTGAAGTTAGCCGACTTGACTGGCACTGTCCTCAAGTGGACTCTTCCCCATTCACTGCCCTGGCCTCCCAAGGGCTGCTGCACAGATAACCAGCTTAGAGAATGCAGAGGGATGGTGACCTCTTTTGCATTCTCTCTCCTTGGGCACATCCTAAAGGTTGCATTGTTGATCTTTAAAAACTAAGTTAACAGAACATGTGATGTTGTTTTGTCATCAGATGGAGGAAAGGCCATTTTAAAAAATCACCTCGATCAAAATCCCCAGCTACAGTGGAACACGACAGAACCCTCACGAACATGCAAAGACCCCATAGAAGATATAAACTCCCCAGAACAGTAAGTACCTTCTCAACAAGTGTCACTGAAGTGTCACCCAGCACTGCTGACTACGATTCACATCTTGTGTTCACAGCCATTATTTTACTGAAACTCCACAGTGACCCCTATGTGGTCAAATTCCACTGGTCTTTTCACAGGTAAGAAAGCTAATATTCAGAAAGGAGAGTGACTTGTCCAAGCTCATCCAGCTGCTAAGCACAAGAAGTAGGATATGAACTTGGATCTGGCCAACATCAAATCCCATGTTCTCCACTGTAGCATGCTGCCTTTGTATAAAATGTAATCTTGCTAAATGCATTTACTTCACCATTACTGAAATCTATTATGTGTCAGAAACAGGCAGTGGGGACACAGTAGTGAAGAAAATGGACAAAAATTCCTCCCTCACTTTAGTATCTCCCAGAGCTCCATCCAGATGGTAGGATAATAACTTAATCAAAAGGTTAGCTTAAATCGTAGGTGCTTTGGAGAAAAGTAAAGCAGGAAAGGGGTTTAGGGAGTGTCACTGTAAATAAGTGATCAGAGAAGACACAATGAGAACGTGATGTCTAAGCAGAGACTTGAGTGTCTCAGCTCTTCCCATCTTATAACAGACTGGAAGCAAAGGTTAGACACATCTGAAACTTGGCCTCTGGGAAGTGACAAACAGAGAGCCACTGGCAAAGGCAGCTGAGTCCCCAAGTCCAAAGAAAGAGCAAGTAGCCTATCAACCCAGTTATCTCCAAGCCTGTACAACTTGAGGACCAGAGCAGTTACCAGTGGTTACACAGCCTTTGTCAGTAGTGTACCCATTCACTGCCTCCACGGCAGTGTAAGCTCCTTGAGGGGAAAGTGAGTCCCTTGTGTGTCCCCTGGACTGAACACAGAGTGAGGCATTGAGCAGGCTCTTGACAGGCATGTGTTGATGAGTGGAACAGGATCCTAACAGACGGGAGAGTGCTATGGCTCCAACAGCCACACATGGGCTCCTTGCCTAGCTGACGCCTTGCCCTGGGCACCCTTCCTCAGGTCCAACTTTATTCTTCAGTTCTTTTTTCCTGGAGTCTCATCTTGCCCTAAGGAACAGATCATGGCTGATTTTAAACAAATTCAACTTTGGTTTCAAAATGAGATTTCCGATATTCTTATCCCTGGGTCCCTAGGAGGTGTCTTTTGGGAGAAGTGTTTCTGGGTAACAGGTCTTTGGGGAGCATGGGCAGTCCTTCATCTGAACCCAGGCATCTCACAACCCATCAGGCCCCACATAGACTCCAGAGGTACACACTGTTGGGACAGAGTGGCCCCATGAACTGATGTCTCCACCATGAAGCCATGTGGATGGAAAGAAGCCAGTGTCCCAGCTTTTGTTTCTGTGAACAAGCTACACAACTCTGAACCCTTCTCTTGTCTTTATAATGCAAATAGCAATACTTCTTGGATTTTGTTTTTGTTTTAAAGTCTGGGTTTGGTTTAGTTTGGTTTGCACCTGAGAGACCAGGCACTAGGGGCACAAGGAGGCATAAGAACCCAATCCCTCCCCCGAAGGACTGCAGTAAAGCTAGATAGTTCAATGGAGAATTACACAAAAATACAATTGAACAAAGCAGTGGAGCAGTTGCCTGGGCACATTGCTCCGAAGCAGCCTCTCCCACAGTTCAAGTGGCTTTTGTACACTATGGTCATTGAGACTTGGGAGCAGCGATTAGGAAGGCCACCCTTGGCAAAAAGTTCAAGAGACCCCATCATTCAACCAGTGTCTGGGCACAGTGACATGTGCCAGGTATGCGTGGGAGCACAAATAGGAGGATGGCAGTACAAGCCCACCTGGGCATAGAGTGAGACCCTATCTCAAAATACCCAACACAAAAAGGGCTGGTGTAGTACTTCAAGTGGTAGAGCACCTGCCTAGCAAGCACAAAGCCCTGAGTTCAAACCCCAGTGCTGCCAAAAATAAATAAATAAATAAATAAATAAATAAATGAAAGACTTCAGAATGTGGCAGTGAGAAGGGAGTCAAAGAGCAGTGCTTCCTCCCTTGCTGTCCCTCCATTAGTGACATGGGAGGTACCCCCCCCACACACACACACACTCAGTCCCACCTCCAGCTTTTTATGGCTTCTTTGTGGGGATTTACCAAAGGTTCTGGGGGCTTCAAGGAAGAGGGGGCTTACTTTCTGAGGAGTCAGCACAAAGAGCACATTTAAACCAGATGATCATCAGGTCTGGAAGTACAGATGGAACACAGAGTGTGCAAGGGTAAGGAGCACTCAGGAGTGATATCTGAAAGACTAGCCACCAGGGGACAAAGCTTGGAGGACAGAGGGGCAAGACTCACCTGAAGAAGTTGGAGACACCTTAGGGGCCCTGGAGGCCATGTCAAAGTGTGCCCTCTTTTCCCTCATGACTTCCCAGGGCTGGAAGGTATCACTAGTCATCAAAGATGAAAGGCTAGGACAGAACCTGCTGGAACTGGGCCCAGGAGAAGGGATGAGGTGCTGGTAGGCAAGGCAGTGGCAGAAGGGGGTGAGAAGAGAACAGAACTGAGAGCCACCTGTTCGGAGGCTTCTAAGGTTTGAGGATGAGAAATGCCTGTGTGTGCAACATGTGGCTTGTTCCTAATAACACAGCCATGACAGTTCTATGACTCACCAAACTCTGTACCAGAGGCTCAAGAAGACTGCCTCTTCCTGTTCCATTTAATCTCCCTGGCTACTTCCAGGGCAGGAGCGTCTCCGGAGGCCTTCATTAAACACCTGCTGGAGGGCTGAATAGTTGGATTGGAGTCAAAGGAAGATAGGCTTCTATCAACAGGTTTTTTGGTTTTGTTTTTGTTTTTTTGCCAAAGTGGGTGCAGGGAACTTTCTGGCAAGCAGCCAGCCAGCCTTCACTAACTCTGCTCCTCTCTTCCCTCCAGCATCCAGCGCAGGCTGTCCCTCCAGCTCCCTATCCTCCACCACGCCTACCTCCCATCCATCGGAGGCGTGGACGCCAGCTGTGTCAGCCCCTGCGTCAGCCCCACCGCCAGTCCCCGCCACAGACACGTGCCACCTTCCTTCCGAGTCATGGTCTCAGGCCTGTAAAGGTGGGAGGCCTGGGGTTGGGGCCTCCCCAGTGACAGCACCATGCTGGGCACAGGTGTCTGCTACAGGCACACTGTTGGCTCTGGCCACAGAGAAGCTGGGTGCCTTGGCTGCCTCTCGGGACTACTCAGATGTCACTCAGGTGGACAGGATGGGGGACTTGGCACCTGACCTCGAGCCTTATTTGTGAAGTTCTTATTCTTTCACAAAGAAGAGGAATGGAAGTGACTTCTTCCTTAATGTCTGCAACTAAGGAGGAGCTGGGATATTTGAAACTTGCAAAAAATAATAATAATAAATTATAGACAAGGAAAGAGGCCTAGAACTCCAGCCAGACTCACCAAGTGGCCCAGAGCCAACCTCGGGAGAGACGAGGGCTCTGGAGAATCCACCTCTGCAGTTTGCACACATGTCACCGCTGGGCCCCCACCAGCCCTTCTCCACTCTGGGGGCAGAGGTGAGCAGAGCCACCAGGTCCTCAGTGGCCAGCCGAGCCCACCCCACCCTCCCTGGAACAGGGAGTCCATGGGAAGGGCAGACAGGCACAGCCCTGGGACAAGGGTACCCAAGCAGGCGGTCTCGCATGCTCCCAGGGGACCTTCACCACAGAAGAGATGTTTGTTATTCTCTGGTAAACGTCACACATTAACACAATAACGCCCGTTCTGGTGACTCTGGGGATTTAGGGCATGCCACTGCAGACACGCTCTGCAGCATTCACCAACAGTCTGTCAGGCGCCCACGCTGGCCATGTCCTTGTGTTCATATCAAGTGTTCCCAGTAATAAGGGGGACCGCCCAAGCTAACCATGGAATGTCTGTTCCCAGCAAACACGATAAAGAAAGACGTGCACTTTAACCTGTCCCATCAGGGCCCAAGGGCTGGCTGGGATTTTTTTTTTTTTCCCATTGACTTTGTTTCTGACCAAAGGGAATCAGGACATTCTGGTAAAAGACATCCCTGGTGTCATAGGGGCAAGAGCCGCTGGTGGGGGCTTCCCTGGGCTTCCAGAAGGCAGCCTTCCATGCAGAAGAGCCAGTGAGCTCCCCCCTCCACTTTGCCGGGGCCCGTAGTCAGCAGGCTGGTTCTCATCCATATGCCCCCCGGAGGAGTACCGGCCTAAGAGTCATACAGACCTGGGCTCAAGTTCTCAGTCATTTCCCTCCAGCTCCCTGCATGACCTTGGGCAAGTCACTAGTGTCTCTCTGAGCCTCAGTTTCCCCTCTGTAACAGATTGGGGTTGAAATAACACCCATCCTGCCTACCTCACAGGGTCACTCTGAGGACGGAAACTTGATCTCATCCAGGAAAGCTTTGTACCAAACAGTGAAGCAGCCCTGACCCGTGAGGTATTAGTGTGACCATGACCTTCAGCCCTCACTGTAAGCTGGAGGCCCAGAGAAGCTTTCAGCATCGCCCTCTACCCAGAGAAGCCCGGCTGGAGGGAGGCTCCCAATGACTTTTCTGACATTCCTAGACAGGTTCATTCTTTGCTAAAGAAAGACCTTAATGACAGCGTCCAGGACGCCTGCACAACCGAGTGGCTTGCTCACTCCCTAAAGAATCCTAATAATGGCAGCTTCAACAGGCAGGCAATAATCTCTTCCCAGAACCACTGCAGTCAGGAACACACTTGTCACCACCAGACTGTGACGAAAGGGCCCACGGGAATCACCACCACCAACATGTCAAAACACCCCAGTTCACGTAGCATAGCTTCCCCCCTCCCCTCCCTCCAAGAGAGGTTACAGAAGTACTGTAGCGTTTAGGGAAGTGACAAATGTTAACCCATCACAGGTCAAGTTGAAGTCATTCTCTGTTTAGGCACTAAAAATTGTGTTGTCACTCACTGTGTATTACCAGTATTTACTTGCTTTCTTGATTTCACCAAAAACATTTAACTTAAAGGATCACATTAATTTTTCAAAGGGAAAGAGACAATTAATTGTATATAATGTATACACACACACACACACACACACACAAATACCTGTAGAAATATTATTCCAGCATAGCAGGGAAAAAAAACACACACAAAAGTATTGGCGTGTCGGAGGTGAGCGTGCGTCTGTAACCCTTTGTGACTCCGAATGTGCTCCATCTTCTAGGTTAACCCACCAAGTACATTCTGTCGACTGATCCTATAGGTTCACCCATTTTATTTTTTAATTTCCCTGCAAATAACAAGCCCTACAGAAGTGACTAGCTATCTAATGGTTCTCTTCTTTTATATGCAGCAAACACACCCCATTTCCAAGAGGCTTCAGCCCGAAGGCATTTTCCAACAATGTTAGTGCACAAATGCTTTAAATTAGACTGGAACTGCCAGAATCAAATGTAAATTGAGGAATTTCTCGTGCCCCTACTGCATGGTATCGATTTTTAATAAATTGTTGCAAATTCGTTTTTATGAATAAAAGGAAAAAAAACTGTCGTCATCAATGCCTACTCTTCCCAAAATGGAGGTGGAGTGGGCCCACATTACTCTGCTCAGAAACTGTGGGGTTGTCTGCTCAGCAGTGTCCTTTCCTTCAGACACTGCCCTCCTGCCTGCTGCTGACAGTAACAGAGCAGCCCCATAGCTGTGCAGCCCCAGGTTCTGTTTAATCCAAGGGTAAAAACCTGACCTAAACTGGACCAAAAAAATCCCTTCCCTGGGATTCCTTCATGTAGAGAAATTTAGTCTGCTATGAAAGAGAAAACCAGAGTCAACCCAGAGAAGCAGGATCGAGTGATGGGTCCTGGTGGAGTCTGAGTCCCTGGTCAGCTGTCCCTCAAGGCCAGCAGCACACCACTCAGTTGCTCAGGCCCTTCTCAGATCCTCCTTCTGTTCTTCCAATAAATTGCTCTTTTTGCCTGGGTTAGTTCAAGTTGCATTCCCCACAGGCAACTCCAAGGTTCTTGACCAATTTAGAAAACTCACAGCCTTCCCAGCCCCATCCAGGCCTTGGTGGCCTGGCAAGATTTAGACCGTCGCACCTCGTCACGCCTCCCCTCTGCATCCTGGTGTTACCCCAAAGGCTGTTTGTACCTCCTCCATCACACTGGGCCTCTGGCCCACAGCTCCGTCTCATCCTCCTAGATCCCTCATAGGAAATCTCTCTTCCTCTTTTCTGGACTGAGGACACTGTCCTCTGTCATAGCACTGTGTACATGCCCATGCTGTCCTCCCCCACGGGCACCACGAGCTCCCTGAGGATGGGAGTCAGGTCTGCTTCTTCAGCATTCCCGTGAACAGAGAGCCTCTCTGGGGCTCAGAACAGGCTTCCATGAGGCCTTGAAGAATTGGAGCATTTTGCCCAAGGTGTGTCCAGATTCATTGCAGGGTCTGGAAGACAGGACAAGGGTGGAGGAAGCCAAAGCAGTCTGGGGAGAGTCATGGGACCAGGGATGGACTTAGAAATGGACTGGACTCAGGCTTGGTAAGAGGGCTACTCCCAGGTCAGGGTCAACCAAAAGGTCACGAAAAGACAGGCTCTTTTCTCTCCAACCCACTTCCTCACATAACTCAAGAGTCACAGGCAGCCCAGCATGGCCACGAGGCACTAGGACATGGAGCCATTTCTCAGCATCTCAGACTTAAGAAACTCTTCTCTCCTCACAAAACATGGGAGTCTGCTGAGAAGAACATCAGGTCTTCGTCTTGGCATATCTGGAAGGGAGAAATGCCCACTGCATGGAAGAACATCCTCATTTTCATCTTCACTGATGTTCTTCGTGTCTTGCTTGCCCTTGAGAACTGGAGTCTAAAGGAAGGGCCAGGAGTTGCACTTCACTCTTTAATCTTTGTATAAAGGTTCTCCTTTGTGATGACCTGCCCATAGCTGAAGTAAAAATAAAAATAAAGAACATTTCCTAGCCATACAGCGAGGTATTCTGGAGTTGAAGCCCTTTGAGAAAGCTCTGAGGGTCTTCTCTCTTTGGGCACGGAGGTAACACTGGGGTCCTCTGAGGGACAATGGAAAGAAGTTTCCAGAAACAGACACCAATCAAGGCCTGTCCTTCCCGGCGATTGCCTGAGCTCCGCAGTTCCCTCAATACAACGGTCTCAGTTCTCAAGGCCTCGAAGTGGGTGCCTGGAAAAGGAGGTAGTGCTAGGTAAACTGTAAACGCCAACTGGTGGCCATTTGGGCAGTGCTGCCTGCGGTCCCTTCCCGCCCCAGGAAGCACAGCCCCGCCTGGGGCGAGGGATGGAGGCCTATTGGGAATCTGGAGCCCCGCCCTTATTCCCATCCCTAGACTCAGGGATTGGCTCAGGTAATATGTCCATTAACCAAGACCAGCCAATCAGAGCCCTTCCCAAGGTTTCTGCCCCGCTGTTATCCTGGAGGAACTAAAGGTCACCTCACTGGGGATCAAGGACTAGCAATGCCTAAAGGTACATCTGCCCTTGAGTTCTCGGTTTCAAGAAAATGAGTCCCTTTTCTGCTCATACAGAGAAGGGTTTCTGTCATTCAGAACCAAAAGGACCAAACAATGTATACACATGTGAGTAAATGTAAAAACGATTAAGAAGAAGAAGAACTAAAAGAAACCTGCGGGATTCGGGAGAAATCTGCCCTCCTCTCTCCTCCTAGTTTTGGAAACACGTGTGAAAGGATTTCCCTGGTCCCACACACCACTAATCAGGGAGGTAGGTAAGGATGTCCGAAGGGAATGTGAGGACAGAAGCCTCAGGAGGCTGAGGACGTTCATTGGACCAGGCTGACGACCCAGGGATGGTACCAAGGTAGTACCCCAGGAAGGGCCTCTGTCTGTTCAGCAGTCTCTGCCTTTGTCACCTGTCCATACCCCACCTCCTTGCTTGTCACTCCTTGCTTGGCCCTAAGGAGCAAGGTTTGTGAGGCACGGGGCAGTAAAACTACTTAAAGGAAAAACACACTGTTTGTTTTGAAGGAGGAAAGAGGAAGAGGGGGTTGAAAGTATACTGGAGGGGTGAACTTGTGCAAGGTACACTGCACACGTGCATGGAATTACCACAAAGAAATCCCTCCTATTATTAAGGAAGTACAATTCACCCACACCTGAAGCCCCTGGCAGATCCAGAGGCTCAGCCACCCATGGTGCCAGGTGGGGCCTGCCTGGAGATGACAACTCACTGCATGGTTCCTCCAGGTCCTAGTCGTAGGAGCCACAAACCCCAAGTGAGGTATCCATGGAGCTCCTGCCTTTACCAGGACTTGTGCTGGACACCAGGGGAACAACAGGGAAGGGACACAGGTCTCAAGACGCTCACAGACTGCACATGGTGGTGGTACATACCTGTAATCCCAGCACTCTGGAGA